GGGCGGTCCTTTTTTAACAGAGCAGAATTATGCATGACAGGGATGGAAGACTGATGAACGAAGTCCTCACCATAAGGTTCAATAACCTGGTACCTTTGCTCGGGTTGCAGTATGTCTATAAATGAAACTACGCAATTTTTTCTTCAAGATGAGTCACATGATACAGGGCATGTGGAAAGTATTCCTTACCAATTGCATCAATGAGTTGGCGTGTCTCCTGCAGCCCGATTTTTTCTGGAAATATATTAGGAAAATAGGCAATCAGTTTTCAAAAAGTAGGAAAAGCCATGTGATGGTCATGGGATTGTGGTAAACGATGGTCTCACCAATAGTATCAATAAGCTGGAGCATCTGTTCCCACTTCAGATTGTCTGGAAAATAAATAAATAATAAAACATATCACTTAGACAACAGGAAGAGGCACATAAGGGCCATGTGTAACGTCGTCCTAACCAATTGCATGAATGAGTTGGCGTGTCTCCTCAGGCCCGAGTCTTTCTTCAGAGAAAAAAGAAATAAAAAGGTGATCCTTTCTTAATAATTTAGACCAGATTTGCATAAATTGTACATGAACCTTAATTTGAAAAAAATCAAATATCTATGACTAAGACCATTCGTGCATCCTTAGGTATATGCAATTCCTCATTCAGAATTTTTTCTTACATATTAAGTGACATCATTTCACATGATTACACCATATTGATAAGGAAAAAAGTTCACATCATCATAAATAATTCATGTTGAAGCTTCAGGGAATACTATAATAAATGCAATGGGGGGGCAAGAGTAGTGTACGATGTCTTCACCAAAAGTATCAATGGGCTGGTTCCTCTGCTCCGGCTCAAGTATGTCTGAAAAAGGAATGGGTAAAGAAAATTTTCCCTTCAGCTTCAGGGAAAGACATGATTAGGTTTATGCGGAAGCTCATACTTACCAATTGCATCAATGAGTTGACGTGTCTCTTCCGGCAATAGCTTTTCTGGAAAGGAAAGTAGAAAATAGGTTTTCCATTCGTAATTGAAGAGGAACATCCCTGAGACAGCAGTGTGATATATGTGAACGATGTCCGGACCAAAAGAATTAGTGAGCTGGCGAATCTGCTCCGGCTCAAGTATGACTGAAAAAGAAAGACCAGTAAAAATGTCATTTTGACAGCAGGAAAAGGCACACGATATGGGGCATAAGGAATGTCGTCCTTACTAAATGCATGGATAATTTCCCGAAACTCCTCCGGCTCGAGTTGTTCTGGGAAGAAAAGAAGGTTATTAATCAGCCCCTCTTAACCGAAAAGGGAAATCCACGGGGACGAAAGAAGATGGGGTGAGCTGGCGAAATTGGCAAAGAATGACCTCACCAAGGATATTAAAGACCAGGCAATTCTGCTTCGGCTTAAGTATGTCTGGTAAAGGGGAATGGAAAATATGGCATTTATACGGTGGTAAAAGTCAAATAATAGGCCATGTTTGGAATGTTGTCCTCACTCAATTCATCAATAAGTTGGCGTGTCTCCGGCACGAGTTTATCTAAAGAGAAGCGAGAAAAAATGTGATTTTCACTTAACCCCCTTAGAACAGCTGTAAATTATATGTATTTAAACTTCTTTTTGTTACTAACTCAAATAACCATAAGACCATTTGTCTATATGCGTATATATATGCTGTTTCCGTATGAATCCTGGATTTGTTTTCGACCGACTTTTTAAGTTCTCCACCACATTCGCTCGTTAGGGCTCATTAAAAAGTTCATGGTTTCCCATATTATGCAAAAGTTTTCGATTCATACATCATGAACAAAGGCACGGTAGTCAGCACAAATACCAAATTATTCAGTCGTTTTAGAGAAAAATTGAAATGATTCACTTCATCCTCTTCAGACAGCTGGTGGAGAGTGCACATCTTTTAGGGGAAGAACTTTTCGTCGTTTATGATTCAGAGAACAGACAACAGTGAGGTCGCGAAAGCAATGGCGGCGCGCCGGATTGACATGGGCACAGCGACCTGGAACGCCTGGCACTTTAGCAGTAACTTCTCCTTCCCGAACCGTTCTGCAGCTAATCCTCTTGTAGCGCAAGATCGCACCCGTCGCGAAGATCTTCTCATACCATTATTTGATCTCTCATTGACTGTGTATAACCGCATTTCTGCCGAAATTTCCACGAAGACACCGCTGAATAGCGGCTGT